AGTCATCACTATTTTGTCTTCTCAAAGCAAATTTCGGTAAATCGAATGATATTTCGATTTCACGGTATGTTCTTGATGAATATAATATGCACAATATCGGTGTAATATCTCCCACACTTCAAGCATCTCTCACCTTAATCGTCATTTTTATTATTATAATATCTCTTAATAAAGCTTAAAGGTGATTTCTTCTCCTTTATTTCATGTATCTTTTCTTGAAAATAAGTGATTGAAATAGGATATGTGCCCAGAAGGAAACTCTGGTATGATTATGAAAATCCACCAAACTCAATCACAACATTCTGATATCTATGCATGTGTGCGTCTATGGATTTTTCTTGGAATTTATGCTTAAACTATTTTAAACTATGCGTTGTGTAGATTTTCTTGAATTTATGTTTAAACTGCTTTAAACACGTTTGTTGGAGTATCACCTCACAAATCGACAACATGGAGTTCAAGAGAAAGCTCAGCTCCTATAGCCCAACCTATGTCACCCCCATCATCAACAAATAATCGTCCTCTGTGTGGCTCATCTCCACAAATAGAACAAACTATACCTCCTACAGCAGATCCTCTACCATTCAGAAAATCAAATAGGATTCGACAAACACCAACTCATTTGTGGGATTATTACTGTGGTACTGTCTCTTTATCTCAATTGTTGGCCAAAAAGTCTTCATCTGATTGCTCCTCACCTGCAGGTAATACTTATCATTCTCATCTGCAGGCTCTTTCTATCCCATCCAACATTCATATCACCCTGATTATCCCCATAACATAAGGGCTTCTTGACTTCTATCTCAACTTACCTGGAACCAAAAACCTTTAAACAAGCCTCTAAAATCCCAGAATGGCAAGTTGCTATGCAAACTAAAATTAAAGCTTTGGAGTTAAATAAAACATGGAAACTTATTGCTCTTCCTGCAAACAAGGGAGTTATTGGTTGTAAGTGGGTATTTCGAATTAAGTATAAGGTAGATGGAACCATAGAAAAATATAAAGCACGGTTGGTGGCAAAAAGGTACACTCAACATGAAGGTTTTGATTTTTTTAACACCTTCTCTCCTGTAGCAAAGATCACTTCCGTCAAACTTATTCTTGTTGTGGCTACTGTTAAAATTGACATATTCATCAACTAGATGTCAACAATGCCTTCCTACATGAGGGCTTACATGAAGAGGTTTATATGGAATTACCTCCTGGAATGGCTGTTACTGGAGGTTACAATGCTTGCAGACTTTTAAAGAGTATCTATGGCCTAAAGCAAGCATCCAGACAGTGGTTTGCAAAGTTATCCAATGCTCTCCTATACTATGGTTTTGTCCAAAGTCATTTTGATGCTTCCCTCTTCATCAAAAGATCTGAACACTCTTTTATTGCACTTTTAGTCTATGTGGATGATGTACTCTTGGCCAGTGATAACATTCTGGAAATTCAGCAGCTGAAGTCATTTTCACATGACAAATTCACAATTAAGATCTTGGCCAGCTCAAATACTTCCTTGGTTTGGAGGTAGCCAGGTCCAGAACTGGTATTTCGTTCTGCCAAATAAAATATGCCCTTGAAATTCTCGAAAACATTGGCTTAATTGGTTCTAAACCTGCTGCATTTCCCATCTAATCCAATCTGAAGCTCTCTACATTTGACACTCCTCCATATGAAGATCCATCAGGTTACCGTATGCTTGTTAGCAGATTACTATACTTGACCATTACAAGGCCTGACCTCGCATACTCTGTCCAAGTACTTAGCAAATTCCTTGCTGCTCCTGCTGTGAGTCATTTTCAAACAGCAACTGAGTACTGCGTTATCTGAAAGCCACACCAGGGCAGGGTCTTTTCTTTCCAGCATCTTCAGAATTTCAGCTAAAGGCCTTTTCGGATAGGAATTAGGAAGGCTGTGTGGACACTTGTAGAAGTGTAACTGGTTTTGCAATCTTCCTTGGCAACTCCATGATCTCATGGAAATCAAAGAAGCAAGTTACAATATGTCGCTCTTCAGCTGAGACAGAGTATAGGGCTCTTGCAACTACTACCTGTGAAATTCGATGGCTACTTTATGCTTTACAAGACCTCAACGTTGATCATCCACAACCAACTTCTCTTTACACTGATAGCAAATCTGCATTTGCCATTGCTACAAACCCTGTTCAACATGAAAGAACAAAACATATCCAAATTGATTGTCATCTTATTCGAGAAAAATTGCAACAAAACATTATCAAAATCTTTCACATTCTCTCTAGGCTCCAACTTGCTGATATCTTTACTAAACCCCTTGGTTCTTTGCTTTTTCATCACACTCTTTTCAAGATGAACATCGTTAATATTCATGTTCATCTTGAGGGAGGGGGTGTCGGAGTATCACATCACAAATCGACAGCATGGAGTTAAAGAGAAATGAAGAAAAAGCAAAGTTAGTTGATGTAGTTCAAAGTTAGTTAAAGTTAGTTAATTTCTGTTATTTTGTTATTCAATCAGTTGTGATTTTCTATATAAATATAGCTCATGACTATTGTAAAATTAAAATCAATTGAGTTCAATTAATGAAGCAGCACTGTATATCTTTCTTTTGTCTCCTTCTTGCTTGCTGCCATTGTTTCTAATTCCAAATTTAACAATGTTTGTCGTCATGTTCTATTTCCACTAATTCTTGTATTTCATTATGCGGATTCGTTGGGGAAGAAAATAGTCCAGGAGGTAGTCGAAATACTGAATCCTGCACAGAATGTGAGGCTCTTGGTCGATGCTATTCAAATGCACCTTAGGATTAGGGAGCTGGGACAGTAGAGATAGGCGAAGTAGCTTCAACAAGTAGAGACAAATGGGTGGTATACAATTTATATC